ACATTATTCTTAGTGAAGCATCACAGGAATGGAGAAGTAAGAATCCTATGTATTCAACTTTGATATGAAGACAATTAATGACAATTAATGACACAGTGGGGCATGGAGGAAGGAGAGACCAGACAGAGAAGGAGGGAGGGAGTGTGGGCAAAGAAAAAAAAGAAAGAAAGAAAATAGTGACTAATTCTCATATAAATTGCATTTAATTTTGACCAAAGTACATTACTTAAACATTAATTTTTAATTCAATATGTTAATATGTTGTTTATCATATTGCATCTTCATTTATAAGTGAAATATGTTTGTAATTTCCCCTTTATAATAATATATATTCTCCAATTTTAATATCAGGTATATCCAGATTAAGTAGAATGATTTTGAAGTATTGCTTTTTCTATTGTCTATAAGATTTGGCATGATCTGTTTTTTTGAAATTATATTTTACTTTTATTTATAAATATTAGTTGTCTATTTTTTTGAGACTTTGGAAAAAACAAAATAATAAGAAGTTAATTGATCAAAGTATTCTATAATAGACATACTTCTATCTGACAATGTAAATGTTACTTTCTTTGCATTATTACTATTATTATTGCTTAATATTTTGTTGCAGCAATCGTCTGTTTTCTTTTCTGAATGTATTTATCTTCGTTAGTTCTTTATGAGGCATTTGTTCTCAGGTCTTATGTTAAATATTGTTATTGTCATTAAAGTTAGCCTTTTTAATTCTGTGAAGGCAAAAGTGGAAACCTAATATATACATGTGTAAGAAAAGTAACTAAATAAAAAATTGAAGAAGGAATCTTCCCGAACACATTCTATGAAGCAAACATCACCCTAATACCAAAACCAGAAAAAGACCCAATTAAAAAGGAGAATTTCAGACCAATTTCACTAATGAATATAGATGCAAAAATTCTCAACAAAATCTTAGTCAATAGATTATAGCTTATCCTCAAAAAAGTCATACATCATGATCAAGTAGGTTTCATCCCAAGGATGCAAGTCCATAAATGTTATTCACTGTATCAACAGAAGCAAAAACAAAGACCATGGGATCCTCTCAATAGATGCAGAAAAAGCATTCGATAAAATCCAGCATCCTTTTCTAATTAGAACACTGAAGAGTATAGACATAGGTGGCACATTTCTTAAACTGATTGAAGCTATCTATGACAAACCCACAGCTAATATTTTACTGAATGGAGTAAAACTGAAAGCTTTTCCACTTAGAACTGGAACCAGACAAGGTTGTACTCTGTCACCATTACTGTTCAACATAGTGCTTGAAGTTCTAGCCAATACAATTAGGCAAGACAAGGAAATAAAGAGCATCTAAATGGGAGCAGAGGAGGTCAAACTCTCCCTCTTTGCTGACAATATGATCTTATACTTAGAGAACCCCAAAGACTCAACCACAAGACTCCTGGAAGTCATCAAAATACACAGTAATGTCTCAGGATATAAAATCAATGTCCACAAGTCAGTAGCCTTTGTATACACCAAATAACAGCCAAGATGAGAGGCTAATTAAGATCACAACTCCCTTCACCAGAGCTTCAAAGAAAATGAAATACCTAAGAATATACCTAACAAGTGAATTTTTCTAAAAGCAGAGTATGAATGTCTTAACTTAATGACTAAAAGAATGACATGAAGGTTATGTTAACCAGTTTGATGAGAGTATTTAAAAATGTATATGAAAACAGCACACTGTACCCCATGATTGCATTAATGTACATAGTTATGCTATAAAAAATAATAAAAAAAAAAGAATTGAATTTTGAAAAAAAAAAAAGAATATACCTAACGAAAGAAGTGAAGGACCTCTATAAAGAAAATTATGAAACCCTAAGAAAGGAAATAGCAGAGGATATTAACAAATGGAAGAACATACCATGCTCATGTCTGGGAATAATCAACATTGTTAAAATGTCTATACTTCCCAGAGCAATCTACCGATTCAACGCCATCCTGATTAAAATACCAACATCTTGGGCAGTACTTGTGGCTCAAAGGAGTAGGGCCCCAGCCCCATGTGCCGGAAATGGCGGGTTCAAACCCAGCCCTGGCCAAAAAAATGATTATGCATTTTGTATGGAACCAGAAAAAAATCCCATATAGCTAAGACAGTTCTTAGTAACAGAAATAAAGCTGGGGGCATTAGCATACCAGATTTTAGGCTGTACTACAAGGCTGTAGTGGTCAAAACAACAGGGTACTGGCACAAAAACAGAGACATAGACATTTGGAATCAAATAGAAAACCAGGAAATGAAACTGACATCTCACAACCACCTAATCTTCGATAAACCAAACAAGAACATACACTGGGGGAAAGCCTCCCTATGCAATAAATGGTGCTGGGAAAACTGGATATCCACATGTAAAAGACTGAAACTGGATTGCACCTTTCTCCACTCAAAAAAACTGATTCAAAATGGATTAAGGACTTACATTTAAGTCATGAAATGATTAAAATCCTCAAAGAAAGCATAGAAAAAACACTGGCTGGAAGATATTGGCCTGGGAAAAAGACTTTATGAAGAAGACTGCCATGGCAATTGCAACAACAACAAAAATAAACAAATGGGACTTAAACTGAAAAGCTTCTGCACAGCTAAGGAGACAACAACCAAAGCAAATAGATAACCTACAAAATGGGAAAGGATATTTGCATATTTTGAATCAGACAAAAGCTTGATAACTAGTATCTATAGAGAACTCAAATTAAGCCACATGAAAAAGCCAACAATCCCATATTATCAGTGGGGAAGAGGGATGAATAGAATCTTCTCTAAAGAAGACAGACAAGTGGCTAGCAAACATATGAAAAAATGCTCATTATCCCCTAATTATTAGAGAAGTGCAAATCAAAACCACCCTGAGATATCATCTAACCCCAGAGAGAATGGCCCACATCACAAAATCTCAAAACTGCAGGTGCTGGCATGGATGTGGAGTGAAGGGAACACTTTTACACTGCTGGTGGGACTGCAAACTAATACAACCTTTTTGGAAAGAAGTATGAAAAACCCTCAGAGAACTCAAGCTAGACCTCCCATTTTATTATGCAATCTCATTACTGGGCATCTACCCGGAAGGAAAAAAATCCTTTTATCATAAGGACACTTGTACTAGACTGTCTATTGCAGCTCAATTTACAATTGCCAAAATGTGGAAACAGCCTAAATGCCCCCCAACCCAGGAATGGATTAACAAGCTGTGGTATATGTATACCATGGAATACTATCCAAAAAATGGAGACTTTGCAGCCTTTGTATTAACCTGGATGGAAGTGGAACACATTATTCTTAGTAAAGCATCACAAGAATGGAGAAGCATGAATCCCATGTATTCAATTTTGATATGAGGACAATTAATAACATGGTGGGGGTGGGGGAAGGGGAGAGCAGAGAGAGAGAGAAGGAGGAGGGAGGTGGGGGAAAAGAAGAGCAGAGAGAGGGAAGGAGAGAGGGGGATGGGGTGTGTGATACACCCTGTGGGGGCAAGGCACAATTGTAAGAGGGACTATACCTAACAAATGCAATCAGTGTAACCTGGTTTCTTGTACCCTCAATGAATCCCCAACCAAAAAAAAAAAAAGAAAGAAAGAAAGAAAAGAAAGTGGTTGTGACACTGAATGCAGCTGTACATGGTTGAATAGCATCACATCATCAAAAAAATTTCTTCCTCAAATCTGACTTCCTAAACATGTTTCATATACATTTAAAGATACGTTTGTTTGGGGGTAAATACTACCTCTGGTAGGGTTGTGTTGCAAACTCATATGTATGCTATAGACTGGAGAAATTTAACAGAAAGACACAACTAATATGATAACTCTGGAGATTTATTCCTGACTTAGCTTTTGCTAAAACACTTAATTAGACTATAAATGCCACAAAAGCTCCATCACTGTTGTGTTTCCAGGACCTGAATAAAGTCCTTTCTAGGATGAATAAGTGAACTTTGCTGCTTACACCACAGATGTAAGTCATGGAAGTCACGCCAGAAAGAGGTTATTTGATAATTTTGGAGAGTGCAGATTTGCAGGCCCAAGGAGATGACAGGCTGACTATCCAAATCTACTGAAGAATGTTCCTTTGGAGTAGTATAATGAAGTGTGCATTTTGTTCTTTTATTATAGGTAAGAAGAGAATCATAATATTGGTACAAACACAGATAGATAAACATACATTTACACGTGTGTATATATACATTGCCTGATTAAAAGTTTAAAAATTAATCTCTTTTATTTCAGCTTTATAATATTTTTAGAGCCTCATTTTTTTTTTTTTTTTGAGACAGAGTCTTACTATGTTGCCCTGGGTAGAGTGCTGTAGTGCCACAGCTCACAGTAATCTCCAGCTCTTGGGCTTAAGTGATTCTCTTGCCTCAGCCTCCCAAGTAGCTGGGACTACAGGTGCCAGCCACAACGCCCGACTATTTTTTTGTTGCAGTTGTTCAGTTGGCCCGGGCCCAGTTTGAACATGCCACCCTCGGTGTATGTGGCTGGTGCCATAACCGCTGTGCTACAGTGCTGAGCCAGACCCCCAATATTAAAATCTGGAAATTTTAATTTTTTTTTCCACATCACAAGGGATATTTGGGTACCTGATAGTAAGAAATATAATAAAGAATGCTTTATTCCAAAATCTCTCTACTATGCAGTGGATTCAATTAATAATTGTATGATGTATAAATTGTTTTTATTCTTTGGTATCACATATTGAAATACAGTGTCTCAGTCACCATGTATAGAAAAAATTAACAAACTCATGTTACATCTTATATTTTTAATATTTAGATGTCAACACGTAAAGATTTTGTGAAATTTTGTAATGAATATTTTGTAAATAAAGGTATGTTTAGCTACGATTTCCCCTGTCCCTATGTATGTATGTATGGCAAACTTGGGACACTCTGTAACTAAAGAGAAGACTAATGACGTTTTAACAGTTCTTATGCAAATCCTTTCAACTTCTTGTGCTTTAAAAGTCTGTTTTGAAGTTTATTATTTGGATGGAGATGGCTACATTTCTCGAGAGGAGATATTTAACATACTGAAGGACAGTCTACATCAACAATCATCTGAAGAAGAAACCGATGAAGGAATCCATGAGTTGGTAGATATAGCAATGAAGAAAATGGTAAGAGAGAAACACTGGAATGCATAATATTCAATCAAGTGGATGTTGAATAAAGCTCAAGATTTAAAAATGACTTATTTTCCTCCATGATGAATGGAGGGTGGGGGTTGTTTCTTCTCTGCTCTATCCATTGCCTAGCACAGTGCCTGGCTGACTGTGGGTGCTTAATAAATACTTATGGAATAGCTGGATGAAGAAATGAATCACTATACAAAATGGAGGTTAGCAGGGTGTGGTGGCTCATGCCTACAATCCTAGCACTGTGGGAGGCCGAGGCTGGTGGATTGAGCTCAGGAGTTTGAGACCAGCCTGAGCAAGAATGAGACCCCATCTCTGAAAAAAAAAGCTGGGTATTGTGGCAGTGCCTGTAGTCTCAGCTACTTAAGAAGCTGAGGCAAGAGGATCACTCACTTGAACCCAAGAGTCGAGGTTTCAGTGAGCTATGCTGCTATGACATTCTACCAAAGGTGGCAAAATGAGACTATCTCAAAAAAAAAAAAAAAAGGATGCTAATATATTATTTTAACATATTTTATTATTAGTTGAAACTTCATTAATTTGGGAGGACATCAGATTCAATTCATGTGAATTGTATGCTACTCTGTTTTTTCTTCATGACCTCCTTCCATCCATCTAAACATCATTACAACAAAATAACCTAATAAAAATAGTTAACCCTTACAGAGTGCTTACTATGTACATGCCAGGCCCTTCAGAGATGTTAATGTATTAACTCATTTTATCCTCAAAACAACCCTATAAAGTAGAAACTACTATATGTATTATCTCCATTTTGCAGATGAGAAAACTGAAGTACAGAAAGGTTTACCCAAGATCATCCCAGAGAATGGGGTGCAGAACTCATCTTTCAGGGAAACCTATAGTATCTCCTTATCACGAACAACTCTGTTGAAGGTGTTTGGACCATGTTCACCCTTTTCTTACTATGACCCTAAGCTGGATACTGTGAGGTTTTGTGACTGTAAGGCAGCCCAGGCCCAGCTTACCTACATTACTCTGAAGTTTAGGAAAGAAATATCTGATGGGGGCTTCAGATTCTCAGATTCAGCTAATGCAGGCTCCAGAATACCCTCTTCTTTTAGAAATGCTCTGACTAGCTACTGCTAGGGCTGAGTGTAGAATTCTTAAGAGATATTATGTCTCCAACTACTACCACCTCATTATTTTTTTTTGAGACAGTCTCACTATGTTGCCCTCAGTAGAGTGCTGTGGCATCACAGCTCACAGCAACTTCAAACTATTGGGCTTAAGTTGATTCTTTCACCTCAGCCTCCCAAGTAGCTGGGACTACAGGCGCCTGCCACAACACTAGGCTATTTTTTGGTTGCAGTTGTTATTGTTGTTTAGCAGGTCCGGGCCGGGCTTGAACCTGCCAGCCTTGTTGTTTGTGGCTGGCACCCTACTCACTGAGCTAAGGAAGCCGAGTCAGTACCTTGCTTCTTAATAGAGCAACTACACTTTTATCCTTTTTACCTGATGGACTCCCAAGTAGTCTTTTGAAGAACAAGTCCTTAAAAAAAAAAAATTAAACTTGAAAATCGGTGTCCTATTGTACTTATCACAAAAGTAGCAATATACTAGTAGGCATCTTCTTTTTTTTGTTTCGTATCTCCAGTTAAAGTATTTTAGGGGTAGGAATACACTTAATATATCTAAGGTAACTCAGATATGCTAATAACAAAAAGAAAGTAAGTTGCCTCCATAAATAGGTACCTTTTGATTTAAATAAATAGTGCCGGCTTGGCACCTGTGGCTCAAGTGGCTAAGGCGCCAGCCACATACACCTAAGGTGGTAGGTTCAAATCCAGCCCAGGCCCGCCAAAACGATGATGGCTGCAACCAAAAAATAGCCCGGTATTGTGGCAGGTGCCTGTGGTCCCAGCTACTTGGGAGACTGAGGCAGGAGATTCGCTTGAGCCCAGGAGTTGGAGGTTGCTGTGAGCTGTGATACCACAGCGCTCTACCCAGGGGGACAGCTTGAGGCCTGGTCTCAATAAATAAATAAATAGTGCCTACAGAAGTGTGAACTTACAGTTTTACCTGGTAAAACCTATTAGCTATTTTCATGCAAAGTTTAAAACTACTCTATCATTGGGCAGCGCCTGTGGCTCAAAGGAGTAGGGTGCTGGCCCCATATGCCAGAGGTGGCGGGTTCAAACCCAACCCCAGCCAAAAACCGCAAAAAAAAAAACCCCAAAACAAAACAAAAAACTACTCTATCATTTATCAAGAAATATCTTCCTCTTTAGGACTATGACAAAGATGGCAAGATATCATTTGCAGACTTTGAAAAAGCAGTGAGAGAAGACAGACTTTTGTTGGAGGTGTTTGGACCATGTTTACCAGAAGCAAAGGTACAGTTACAAGTGCCAATAGCCCAAATTTGTTGAGGATTTTTTAAAATTTCAGGTTAATATGAGCGTATACACGACTAGGTTACATAAATTGCTTTAGTAAGGTTAAAGTCTGTGTTGTAGTTGTGTCCTTCACCCAGAAAGCGTGCCATATACTGGTGCAATGTACTTGGGTCAAAAATAAACCAACCCGGCTTGGCACGCCGTAGCTCAGCAGTTAGGGCCCTGGCCACATGCACTAGGGCTTGGTGGGTTCAAACCTGGCCCAAGCCAGCTAAACCACAGTAACAACTGCAACAAAAAAATAACCAGGCATTGTGGGGGGTGCCTGTAGTCCCAGCTACAAGGGAGGCTGAGGCAAGAGAATTGCTCGAGCCCAAGAGTTTGAGGTTGCTGTGAGCTGTGACACCACAGCACTAAATACCAAGGGCAACAAAGTGAGACTGTCTCAAAAAAAAATTAAAAAGAAACAAACCACCCCCTTCCCCATATTTTAGTTTTTCCCTCACATGAGTATGTAGTTATTAATCCACCAGTTTCAAATTGGTTAGGAAGGTGTCACTTGCTAAATACTTGCCTCTGTGGGCCCACCGCCCCCCTGCTGAAGTTCAGGCAGTTATAAAAAGCTCAGACCTATCCTAGTGTTATGGGCCCCCAAGACAACTCTACTATTTCAGTAACCATATCCAACAGACTTTTATTGAGACTAGCTGACAGCAACCTCAAACTCCTGGGCTCAAGCAATCCTCCTGCCTCAGCCTCCCAAGTAGCTGGAACTACAGGCAAGTACCACTAAGCCCAGCTAATTTTTTCTATTTTTAGTAGAGACAGGGTCTTACTTTGCTCAGGCTGGTCTTGAACTCCTGAGTTCAAGTGATTTACTTTCTTCTTTAGAGGGGGTCTTGTTGTTGCCCTGGCTGGACTGCAGTGACATGATCACAGTAGCTCACTGCTGCCTCAAACTCCTGAGCTCAAGGTATCCACCTGTTTCAGTCTACCAAGTAGCTGGGACTACAGGTACACCCTACCATGCTTAGCTAAGTTTTAAATTTTTTTGTAGAGAAGGGGTCTTGCTATGTTACTCATGTTTAAACCCTATATTTGAATTGTCTGGAAATCTTGGTAAAATGGAATGTGTGGACTCAGCGCCTGTAGCTCAGTGGCTAAGCATCAGCCACATACACCAGAGCTGGTGGGTTCGAACCCAGCCCAGACCTGCTAAACAATGACAACTACAACCAAAAACAGCTGGGCGTTATGGCAGGCACCTGTAGTCCTAGTTACTTGGAAGGCTGAGGCAAGAGAATCTCTTAAGCCCAAGAGGTGGAGGTTGCTGTGAGCTGTGACAACCCGGTACTCTACCCAGGGCGACACAGTGAGACTCTGTCTCAAAAAAAAGAATGTGTGAAAGGCAGGCTTTCAATGCGAAGAGATGGGTGAAAACAGTACAGATTAATGGACTGAATTGGAGTAACTACTCAGAACAGGTAACAGTTCTTCACCTGCTCCCTGAGAGATCATCTGTAGCTCAGTTATCTCCAGCTTTTTCTTTTGAGACAGAGTTTCAATACGTTTCCCTTGGTAGAGTGCTCTAGCATCACAGCTCACAGCAACCTCAAACTCTTGGGCTTAATTGATTTGATTCTCTTGCCTCAGCCTCCCAAGTAGCTGGGACTACAGGAGCCCGAGACACGGTCCAGCTATTTTTTTGGTGCAGTTGTTGTTGGTCATCAGCTCCGGCCTACGTGGCCGGCACCCTAACCACTGAGCAACAGGTACAGAGCCACCAGCTTTGCTATTCAAAGTGTGGTCTGTGCACAAGCAGCAGTGACATTACCTAGGAACTTGTTCCCTTACTCTCTTCCCACCCTCTGCCCCCGAGTCTCCCAAGTATATGATACCACTCTCATACAGTATATCATATACACATGGTCATGTATAGTACTCTCACGCGTACATGCAGTATTTGTTTTCCTGTTCCTGGGATACTTCACTTAGGATTTTGGCTTGCATTGCCATCCAAGTTGCTGCTAAAAACATTATTTCATTATTTTTTAATGGCTAAATATTATTCCATTGTAGACCAGGAGTGCCAAAAAATGTATTCACATTTTAAGAGCTGTCACTTGTGCATTACTTTTTAAAATTAATTATGTCAGCAACATGTAGTATGATGTTCGCTCAAAAAATGGGGTTAATCAGATGAATGCTAGTGTCACCATACCAGAGAGCACAGGCAAAGAAAACAGCAGACGCATGGTGGTCGTTTGAGGGACACGACCATTTTGAAGTGGTATTTGAAATCTGAGAACATTCGTGGTAAGTTTGAGACGCACAGTACTGATGTGCACAGGGAAGATTTGGGAGGCCTCACATAGCAGCCAGTCCTACTTCTACTACGGTGTTGAACAGTTCACATGCTCGCCATGGAAGTCTACCAATGTGCACGACCTAGGACTAAGCAGAACAAATATACAACCATTCTTAAAACAGAAAAATGGAAAAATCTTCATTCTAATATTATTAGAAGCACTGAGAAGTGAGCCCTTACTTCCAGAATTAGCCAGGACAATGGACAGGATGAAGTGCTGCCACTGAGTTTCCCCATTGACTTAACACCCCTTGACTTCTACCTGTCAGACTGTATAGGATGTGGTGGACCACAGAAAACCAGCCACACTGGCGGTACTCCACGGTGGAACTGAAACACAATGCTCAGCAACACAATTGGACACTTTGGTCGACGTTGCTCAAGCCAGTTCCATGTATCAGAACTGTCTGAACATGGATGGCAACCACTTTGAGCACCTCTTGTAATTGCAGAAATACAATGTGACTCATAGTCATTTATCAGTATATATTATTACAATTTTAATATTTTTTTCCTTTCTTAAAATGTGTACACTTTTTTTTAGCACCTTCTGTGTTTATACACATTTTCTTTACCCACTCACCAGTTGATGGGCACTTTTCTTTTCCCAAAGGTTTCTTTCATCATGATCAAATACTGTGTATGTTGGTAGGGAGGAGTGCTGGCTTTCACAGGGTCACAGGTCAGGGACCCACGTAGGCATGCAGAAACCTTTAGCAGCTCCTCCCTTTAGGGCTATCAGAGAATTTTTTTTTTTGAGACAGTCTCACTCTGTTGCCAGAGGCTAGAGTGCTACAGCATCAGCCTAACACACGGCAACGTCAGACTCCTAAGTTCAGTGATCTTTTTGCTTCAGCCTCCTCGAGTAGCTGGGACTACAGGCTCATGCCACAATGCCTGGCTATTTTTGTTTTTCCTATTTTTAGTAGAGACGGGGTCTCACTCTTGCTCAAGCTGGTCTCAAACTCCTAAGCTTAAGGGATCTTCCTACCTTGGCCTCCCAGAGTAACTAGGATTATAGGCGTGCCAAGTTCTCTCTGACCAGAGAACTTTTCTAAAAACTGTGGTAAAATACACCTAATATAAAATTGACCATTTTGGCTCGGTGCCTCTAGCTCAAGTGGCTAAGGTGCCAGCCACATACACCTCAGGTGGCGGGTTCGAAGGGCCACCAAACAACAATGACGGCTGAAACCAAAAAAAAAAA